ATCACCATCCCATGATTCCTCGAGTGCGGGCCGGGGCGCTCGGGAGAATTGTAGATAATAAAAAAATATAAAGTGCTGATTTCGGGCGTGTGTCCTTTTGATATGCCTGGCCAGATCTGGAATTTCCATACCTGGCCAAGGATATCACACTATATCTGGCATTGTGAGGCTATATCTAACAGATATACCATATCAGGCTATATGGGGCCAATTTTTGATATGGCCACATCTGAAATCTTCAGATCTGGCCAGATATAAAGTTTTTGTAAGGGACGCGAGTGGCGGAATGACCGGCTGAACGCTTCCGAGAACACCGCCGACTAGTCACACTAGAAAGCGCGAGAAAACTTGAACATGACCTCTCCACACATGTATCTAAACACTTTCCACTCTATGAATCATTCCGAACTCAACTCAGGAATCCACACGCCCACCTCACGCGAAAAGAAAAAAAAACAAGAACAGATTAATGATTAACCTAAAGATGGAATTCTTATCCGGTTAGAACAATATTCTTTCCTTCGGCTATTAGGCATTCCCCTTTCGCCCACTCCCCTCCCTCGCCCCCTTCTACCACCTCCACCCGGCCCCATAATTTGGGTGGTCATGTGGGGTGCCCTAAGCTTTCTTCTTGCCCGCATTACTCCACTTATTTATTTACAGACGTCTCACATCTAACTTCACAACTTTTCCTCCCCTCTCTCTGACTTCATGACGGCACATCTGTCAAGTGTTGCCTCCGATATACTGCAAACGACTTAACATTCGCTAGAACCTAATTTTCGTGAATTTCGCGAATCCCCTACCATCCGCGAAAAATAGGTCCCGCGAAAAATTCCGGTAAATTGTAAACACATGGCAATCTATATTGATATCCCACCACGTCGCGAATGTGAGTCATCGAATGTTGACCTGGCCACTTTCTGTATTATATATAATATTAACTTACTCTTTATGATTATCCGATCGTGACTCTACTGCGTAGTCTGGATAATATCTAGAAAGAACAAAGATTACTAATTATGTGTATGTTAATTATTCATTTATAAATTATACATAATCTATTTTAGAAGTTGCGTTTTTCTTAATGTATTGTGCATTTCGATGACCGTATCGAACCCTAGAACTGTAGGGAGTGTATGGCGTTATATCAACCGTCCGTTACTACGTTTTTATTATATGAAAACTAATACTGCAATTTTACGGCACCATCGGTTTGATTGGGGTAAAGCTGGTACCCTTGAACACAACAAAAAGACCGATCAAAATGTTGGTTTTGTTATGGTAGTACCGCATGACCTATCAGCCAGCTGCTAAACGCAAAATATTGACCACCTCGTGTCATTTAAATATAAGCAAATCGAGACAATGGAGAAGGGTATATTCTAATGAAACTTCAACCGGGGCCCTAATCTACACAGCGGAAAAAATGGACCGAGATATATTACTAAGATCAAACAGCGTGCACAACGTCGGAGCTGTTTAATCTTAGTCATGCACCAACTAGCTCAAATAACCACTTTACTATGACCGAGACATCGCCGCGTTCTGCGATCGGCCAACGGTACGGAGCTGGCCAATCGCAGCAGGCGGCGATCTTCCACTCCTGCTTAGTTCCGCCACGTAGATAAGGCCTCCAGTAACAATAAATGAAAAGCTGCCTTTCACCCATACGATTGTCGCATTAAATTACCAGCTACCGGTTGATCAAGTTCGTACTACGAAAGCGTATTTTGCAGTAACTTAAAACACTTTTATTACCTGAAGTTGTAGTAAAAGTTGACGTTACTTAACAGGGTAATAAAAGAGGTGGTTCGTGTCTCTGATATATGAAAACGAGAAAGATTGCCGCTTTTTTTTATAAATGAGTGCCTTTTATTAATAGCACGACATCATGAAAATGCTGCATATGTATGAAATAAAAACACTCCATATTAAAAAAAAAGTTAAATAACATAGCGAAGGTATACATAGAGCAAGTCGTCCAAAATGCGTCATTTCGCCCATCTGAGAAGAGGCATGAGAATGTTGAGATATTCTCCGCACACTAGAAAATAGGCGCAAAAAAGGCGAGAGAAAGCGGTCACGTATAGACCTTTCCAGCTGCAGTCTCGAACGAAGCGATTTACAGCGCGCGTCCCTGGTTTTGAGAGTGTACGTCAGTGTTGCCCGACTGCGCTGAGCTGTGGAGTTTCTCGTCAGTGGGCTGTGGCAGCCTGCGTAAGCGCAATTCCGGACGCTGGTAGCGGCTGCATTGCCGCATTTTCTTTTTTATTTTGTGTTCTGTGGCAAACATAATTTATAGAGGTACTCAAGAAAGCAGTGCTCTATTTTTGGGAACAAAAACAAAGAAATAAAAGCTGTTTTGGTGAGTCCGTGCGCGACACAACAAATGCCACTGGAATGTTTGTTTCATTTTATGTTCATCGTTTTACGGAACCGTACACTCAGCCGTGTCAGTCTATATAGGTCAAAATATTTGACCACGCAGGATATCCGAACTGCATGGATATTCCCCACCCAGAGCATAAAATTCAACGAGTCTCATCAATCGAACAACACATATTGTACATACCCCACGGTGGCGCGTTATCCGAACAGGATTTGAGAATGGTCTCAAATAACACAGCAGATCCAATATACAGTGTCGATGATAGTCACTTCACGACAATCGAACGGAATCCGGCGTGTTTTGGGGAACATGTAAAAGAGAGCAGCTTTTTTGCACAGCTTCAAAGCAAATGAACGAACGTGTCTATTCTGTCCCCACACCCCGGACCCGACCCTATCAGACATTTTTGGCGAAAACCCGGAACACAGCCGGGAAGGCTTTTTGCAGATTATCTCAACGGAAATAATCCTCAAAGAACGCCGAACTGTCTGCGTCGCGGGCTGCTTGACGTTCGCTCTCTTCGTTCGTTTCCTGCGAAGGCCGAGCAGGCTACGAGCCCTGGTATTCTCTGGTTCGCACAGTGGAAGATAACATAGAAAGGGAAAGCATCCTAAACAGGCGAATAAAGTAAAAACTTCCAAGAAAAGCCGGCGAACTCCGAATGCAAAATGCAGGTGGGGAGTCACGCTGACCGGGTTTCCACAGCTCAGGCGGGTGCCAGACATTTTCTGGCTGATAGGGGTCGCTCAATTCGCAAAATGGCGGCGGCCAGAGCGCTCCTTTTGGAAAGGTCTATACGTAGACTCTCCGCTCCAGCAGAGCTCAGGTGGGAAACAACCTCTTGGTTGTTAATCCTTCGCTCGTTGGAGGGCGTCCGGCACTTGGCAGTCGACGAAACCAAGGTGCCCTTCGAGCAGGGGCGGATCCAGACCTCCATTTTAGGGGGGGGGGGGGGGGGGGGGGGCGGTTCCTCGGTGTAAAACAGTGGGGGGGGAGTGTTTCTATTTTTTGTGGAGTTATCGTTTTTACTAAACTCTGATAACATAAGATTGATATTGAGAACTTTTGTATCGGTTTACCTGTCGTGGATGAACTCTTTGAATTAAAACCTATCGGGTGACCACGCTAGAAATAAGTATCTAGAAAATTGTGGTGGCACTATCCTTTCTGAAACTTGGGCTTCAGACCGACACTACGTGAGCAGTCGATTTAGGGCAGCTTAAAGACATTGCCTTGGCAGACATTCTGGTTGGAGCTAGTGCTCAACTGCTGCGGCAACGGGAAGAGCGGCTTAAATCAATGGAGCAAGCACGTTGCAAACAAGCGACGAAAATGGCCCGGCGGCTTCGACGCTGCTCGCGGCGTCGAAACACTGTTGACGCAGCGAGCGAAACGAACGCTGCCAGGCGAGTTCGTCGATTGTTCGCCGTATATTTGGAATGTCCAGAGCGCAGCACATGCGGCATTGCCAACCAAAACTCGTGTTTTACGTGTTCTGGATGCAACTCGAGAGAACGAAAGCGAATAATTGTTGAATATTTTTGAAAGCATGTTGCAGTTCGTCAACTATAACTTTTAAAGTTAGACAAGACCTTAAACCAGCAATGATCCTTCCAAATTATATTCAATTGCACTTCGCCTGGATACTTTCTGTATGAAAGAAACACTTGTTTCTGGGTAGTTAGCTCATTCGTCAGGGTCGAGAGGACAGCTGCAGAGATATGATAAGGCAGAACGGTTGTCAGGTCGGCGAATCTCAACTGGACTAAAGGCCGATCACGACTGCAGCACGGATGTTTGGGAGCCGGTGTTCACTCGAACGGGCACACGCACTTTCTATGTAATTTATGTATAGTCGCATCTTTGAAAGGGCTCGTTTTCCCCAAGTCCCTAGGTAGGGAATTCGAAGCCGCAGTTGGAAACCAGCAAGCCCTGCCTCTGTTCCGTTCGATACACACATATTCGCTCCTGCAAAGCCGCGCGAAAGCTCTGCCGTCAATCCACAGAAGCCGCGTATAACTCGAAAAGTAAAGACGGCGCCAAGGGGAGACAAGGATTAGTTTGCGCCTTTCCTAAAATATGTCCCGCCACCCTAAGTTGAAACGGCATTGTATACAAATAAATGCCTACGGCGTCGTCTTGAGGACCCCGTGTAAGCAGCCTCCAGCCTTTAGAGTGCTCCTGATCAGGATGACAACCCAACCGAAGTTGGGCTGAGTGCTTTATTTTTTTTCCAGAAAACGGACCGTTTATGCTGGCAGGATGCCTGCATGTCACAGCCGATTGGGGGGAGAGGGGTTGGGAGGATAGGTAAAAGATAAAGAAAGAAAGAAGAAAACAAAACAGTCGCTTGTTATCGACACGCCGTGGCGCGGCGAGCGATGCCGTGATGTCGTCGTAGTGTTCGTAGATCGTGGGCAGCCCTGGGCGTTTACATCACGTCTTTGAGGCCGGTATTAGCCAAGTAGGTGGCCAGCGCACGGAGCGCCCGCTCTGTCCCGGCCCGGGGCAGCCCGGGTCGCAGCAACTCGTTCAGAGTGTCGCTGGGGCAGCCGAGGGCACCGTATGCATGCCCCAAGTTCGCCCGCGCGTCTGAGAAGCGCGGGCAATGGCACATCAGGTGCTCTGCGTCTCCGTGGGCGCCGCAGTGCCCGCAGCTGTCATCGCGGTCGGTCCTCCACCTCGCGCGCCCGGCGGGTGTGAAGCTGGAGCCGGTACGCAGGCGGTGCAGGGCGGCCGCCACGCCCCTCGTCAGCCGCCTGGGGAGCCTGGGAGAAAGCGGTCCGCGCTCGAGCTCGGGCGTTTATCTTTCTTTTATTAGCTTCCCGCCATGAGAAGTCGTACCGCAGGCAGTATGAAGCCCATTAGAGGAAACATCTCCCCCTTCTGGCGCTCGTCGGCTTCTTTCTGTATTCCGCGCTGCGGCGCTGATCCTGAGTGAGGGATAGAGGCGAGGACGAAAGCGGGCTTATGTTTAAGCCAAGGTCGTGGGGAAGTCCGGAGCGTCTAGAGGAGAAGCTCAGACCCAGACTGCCCAGACTACACTGTACCCAGAGCATTTGCTTCCCTTCTCAGTTGAGAAGAAAAGCAATTGGTCAACTGGTTGTACAAGCTGCATCCTGCGTCGATTGCTTATCTTTTTTTCGAGCTAACGAAGAACCCCGGGGGGGGGGGGGGGGGGGGAGGGGGGGGTTGCCTGGCGAGGCGTTTGGGGGTGGCGATCGCCCCCACCGCCCCCCCCCCCCCCCCCCCCCCCCCCCACCTTGGATCCGCCACTGCCTTCGAGAACATTATTCTCACCTTTCTCTAAAGCTAAGTCCTCGATTGTACGAAACCAGTATATTTTTCGAAGCTGTAGAAAAGGTAAGGAAGACATGGTCACGACTAACAGTCAGAGACGACGCCGGAGCTCGACGCCTTGACTCCTGATGCCACGGCAGCCTCTGCGAAAACAGCCGACGAACTTGACTGCCCTGGTTGGAGCATACAATTGGTAAATACAAAGACCGAAATTTATATGTTACACACCATGATCATTGATTTAATCAGAGCTTAGAGCGATGATGTCACTCTATCGGGTGCAGCAATTGGAGTTAGCCGCCGGCGTCCCGGCTGGGTCGACACAAAAGCCGTGGGAAATGCCCCGGGTGCGTTAAGCGGTTAGAAAAGAGGTTGGAATGGACTACCAAATTTCCTCTTGCAGCGTGGCAATCGATTTCATAACTGGGCATGCCGGAAGCATCCCATAGGGCATTTTCGCCCCTTCTGTAAGTACTAGCCTAGGTCGGCTAATGTTGACGCAACCACTACTGCAAAGCAAAAAGGTTTTACGTAAGCAATTTTTGAGATAAAGGGGAAAAATGCACTGCTAAAAATACAATATAATATACCCATAATTAAATGGCTCACACGACAATGTTACGTGATAGTTGGAATGGGGTGAACAGTAATTGCTGTTTGTTTACAGCGTCCCAGCAGTTTGGGGACAATGTTGCAGACCGATGACCGCCCGTATATTCCTCGAGAGTCCCAGCCGCTCTTAAAAGGAAAACAGGTAGCAGCTCCATGGATCCCTTCAATTTATCTCGCTGCAAAATAGGGTATAATGGAAATGCTTAGTAACCTTTCTAGGATCGAGTTGCATAGGCGATGGTGGAAGTAGAACAACTACATATTAGCAACTCACTAGCACAGCCACAGTTTTCATTCACATGATAGCGACCTAGGTAAACAGCAATAAACTCATCGATAACGATTTATTAATCTATACGATCCGCCCTCTTTTGTTCTTTTGAAACTAACTTATTAACTCAAGTTTCTGTCATGCTGCCCGGAATCTTCTGAATGTCCTTGGTGGGTAGGGCGCCATTCAGCCAGTCCGACGCTGGAGCGTGTCAGATTTTAATAATAACTTTGTTTTCGAAATGAATTGGAGGGACAGAAGAAAAAAAGCCTCCAGCGGAGGCTGGATGATCCCGAAGCCCCATACGGTGACGAACGTAACAGCACCAAAAAAAAAAAAAAGCTCCCGCAAGCATATACATAAGAAAGGCAAAAAACTTAATCGGAATTATTATAAACACTTCACAGTAGACACTGTTGTAGCCCTCAAAATAACCTTATACAGTACAAACAAACAAGTAGATAATAGGTAACATAGTAGGCATCGATGAAGAATCACAAGCGCAAATAGAATGAACGGAAATCTTTAGTTGATATGGAGTCTATACAAATTTCATTGCTGGCGAGGTAGTTGGGTCATTTAGGTATAGTGTAACGTAGAGTTTGTGTACCATAGTTTCTCTTGCAGGCGGTAACCTTCCAATATTCCATGTGTCGAATTAAATAGACGTGATCGTTCGGCAATAGCTCGGATAAGTCTGACAAGAAACACGTATTTTTTTGTTCTCGAGTTTTAAGCTGATGCATAATCTATAGTCATAGGGGTTAAATATTTTTTAGCATTCCGAACTTTCGAAACAAACCCTCACTATTGTAATCATAAGGAACATTACAAGTAGTTCTCAATATTCGTTTTTGCAATAAATATAGTTTCTGCAAGTTTGTGAACGTCGTGTTACTCCAAACGAGGCTAAAGTAATTTAAATGGGACTGACACTTTGTGAGTTTCGTACGTAAGCTCCGAAAATTCAATCGATTGCTTTGTCCCTTTTTCTCGAGATCATTCTTTTCTTCAGATGATGCTAGTGTAGTTACTTATATATAATTTCGTGCACGTGCTCAGTGAACGTAAGGCTGCTGGCACTGCTCCGGAACTTCGCCGTTTCATAGCTTCGTTTGCTCGATTGAAAAAAATTAGCGTTAAAAACGTCATTGCAACAGAAATGTTCTGTATGTTTTAACTGTGAAGCGTAAAAAAAAATAAAAAAGAACGTGTACAAATCTTTGTAATGTGAAACTATCATGCTCAAAGAGCGACTTTGTTTCTCTCATTGTTGTGCCGTGCCCGCGGTCACTCTGTGAAATTGCAGTTGATTGCTTCTAAGTGTGTAAGTTGTTAATATGCGGTGACATTGAGCCTAACACGGGACCTACAACTGAAGAGATGCTTCAATCGATAAGGGAGGGTCAAGCCTAAATCAAAGAGGACGTTTTCAATTTAGTTATCAAACAATGCGGTAGCGACAAAGCGATTGCCGAAGTATTATAAAAAATGCAGGTGTCGACAAAGTATACTCGAGTTAAGAGCTAAATCCCATGAGGTCGATGCTCTTAAACAAACTATCACTGTACTCGAGCTGACAATTGTAAAACAAACATCTCGGCTGCCTTATTTGGAAGATCGGAGTCAACTTTCAAATCTTATCATCTTGGGAGTTCCTGACTAATCAGAGGAGACAGAGCGAGATTTGATGGGAAAAGTAATTAATAATACCTTATTTTATTAGGTCAACGGGACGTTACTTGCACTTCTGCAGCGGGAATTCATCGCCTTCATACAAGCGTAGGAAAGCGGGCAATTTTTCTTTACCTTCAGGACTACAATGAAAAAAAAAAAAGAAATCCAGCGAAATAAAAAAAACACAGACTTCAGGGCACAAATATTTACATTCAAAAAGATCATTCCCAAGAGACCATTAACAAAAGGAGGCTACTATGGAACAGTTGAAGCAAAGATATGGTGAACAAAATAAAGGTTTTACTAGGATTGACAAAATTCGATTTGCCAATGATCTGTATGAACCGAACGAATCCACAAATGAGCGTGTAAAGTTATCCCCCTCCAATGAATCGCCTGTCAGTGTTTGACAAGAATTCCGTTCAGTAAACAAACGGCTTCGTCTACTGAATATGAGTGAACAAAGCATCGTCAATAAAACGGACTGGTTCGAATTAGTTATCTCGTATCATGACTCTCATATAGCCATCATTACAGAAACGTGGCTGAATGAAAATCTGTCAGATAATGAATTTTTTCCTGAATCTTAGCAAGTATTTCGTCGGGGACGCCCCTCTTGTTGTGGCGAAATTGCAGTCGTAATCAAATCATCTATTTGTGTAACAAGGTTAGAACAGACTAGTAATAATAAAGGTCCAATTTTACGTCAGGATATCTGGGGCCGAAACGTTATCCTTTTTGTTGAATATAGGCCTCCTTCTGCTTGTCCAGATTTTTTAATATCGACTTTATGATTGTCTATTAAAATATAGAGCTGAATTCATTCTGGTTGGGCATTTTATTCTCTCCATATCGACTCGTTTCAATTATCGAGCCCATGTGATGACGAGATTATTCTTTACATAATGTTCGCATGCAATCTTTCTTAAGTTGTTTTGGAATTTACGCGTGAGCAGGCCTCGAGCCGCTGAATTCTGGACCTTATACTTTTTAGTAGAGCATTCGCTGAATATTCTGTAAGACTTGAAGAAAGTAAGTCTAATCAGAAACTTGTACTATTTGATTGCCATCTGAACCGACCTTTGCCAAAGAAAAAAGTAGTTACCATGGTAAAGGATGTTTCATAGTCTAATTACGAAAGTGTTTCAAATTATCTCGACTACTGCTTCAGCGATTTCGTTGAAGACGATGTGATGTTCCCGTGGGAGAAGTTCAATTTTATATGAAACTATTGCTTAGCGAATTTAGGCCTAGTCGACGTAAATGCACTGGACGAAGGAAACCTTGGACCAACCGAAGTATAATTCACCCTACACGTAAAATAAAAGGTATAAAAAATGTTCAAACTGGGAAAATACATCCCCTATAAGCTGAACTGGCTTGTCAAGTCAAGGAAGCGAGATATACATATTTTTCATACACCCTTTTAAACTTCATGAAACATGATCCTGTAAAGTTCTGGAACTAGTTTTCAGAAAAGGCTAAACCGGTCGACCAGATACATATTAACAACATCATTATCAATGACAAACGCTAAATCGCTAATAAATTTAACCTTTATTTTCAATCTGTGTTCTCGAATACATATTTGAACACTCCAGCGCCACCACTGTAGCTACACTGAAAGCCGATTTTAACTCCTTTCATGGTGTCTTTGTCATGTTATTGAATCTGAATACAAAATCAAGCACTGGGCTTGATAAGATACCGAACGCTTTCCCCCGTAGATATGCCGAATCGATTTCACACATTCTAACAGTAATTTTTCATGCTTCTGTTGGTTCATGTTTGCACCCGTATGACTGGCGGACAGGGCGTGTTGTGCCGATTGATAAAAAAAGCGGTTATTCTGTT